GGGACATGGGCTGAGGGAGGGAGACTGGGCTGAGGGAGGGGGACAGGGGCTCAGGAAGGGGACAGGGGCTGAGGAAGGGGAACAAGAGCTGAGGAAGGGGACAGGGGCTCAGGAAGGGGACAGGGGCTGAGGAAGGGGAACAGGAGCTGAGGAAGGGGACAGGGCTGAGTAAAGGGACAGAGACTGAGGAAGGGGGACAGGGGCTGAGTAAGGGTCAATGTGATATTTTAGGCTTTTTCTTTTAACATATTGCATTGGTGCTTAAAATTAAAAAAAATATATTTCACATTATAGTTTAACAAGTATAGATTGATGTGAAAATAAATGAATAATTATTTCAAACAATTGCAGCAGAATAATGCTGCAACATAAATATGTGAAAAAAAACAAAGGAGTCTGAATTCTTTCAGAATGAACTGTATATACATAAATATGTGTGGTTTGAAATTATACAAAATGTGTCACCTCTAATTTGTCATTACAATTCTGAACAATCAAACCTATAGATATTCATTTTCAAGAATGTCTTTCCTTTTCACTAACTAGTGAACTGCATACTGAACTAAATTCAAGCTGAAATTGCCAAGCTGAGAATGCTCCACAAACACGATTTAGTGAATTAACCCCACTTTTATTTTAAAACTGGCTAGGGATGAATATGTATCAAATAATATCTATATAATGTAAATTGTAATGAATTGCACTCTGTCTTAAACAATTTTTTTTCTATGTTTCTCATTATCTGTAAAAGGAATGAATAATAATTTGAGAGCTAAATATTAAAGTTGAAAAAATATGAAATTAGGGCACTGGCTCAGCTCTGGGAAATCTAATAAAGTGAACAAATTTTAATAGTATTTTTCATTACTTCTAGAGCTGTTAATGGAAGTTGTTAACCTCTTAATCCTGTTTGGGTGTACCATGCCACCTTGCACAATGTGGGCTTAAAGCCGTTAGGGCGGCACGGTATGCTCTCACGGTTTCCATCCTCCCAGCCCCTGCAGACTTACCTTCGGCCGCGATTTCTGGCGATCCTGGTTTGGGGGATTGACTGACAAGCCAGACAATCCGGCCCTCCCTGGCCATGTGATCGTGATAACGTTGTGATCAGATGGCCGGAATGACAGTCTTGTGAACTGCCTGCAGGGGACTGCCTGGGTTGTCAAGCCATCCCCTAAAGGTCTAAAAAGTTTTTAAAAGTTAAATATAAATTATTTAAACAATTTATTATATATATTATATATGTATAATACAAACGTTTATTAAAACATCTCAATAATATATTATACAAATCACAATCCCTGAGGAAGTCCAGTGGATGAAACGTGTTGGATTACAACATTGGGGACTTACTTGCTGTACTTTTATCTCCACCTCACAGTGGATTATATGCTGTTTTTACCTGGACCTTTTGTAAGTGCATTTTGTAATAAATCTTTTGAAGTTTTAATTCCATCTGCACTATTATTTGGTTTCTTTATTTTACAAGTGCTAAAGAAGACTTTCTCCATATTACTCTGAAGACCACTTCTGATTAAGGATGATGGGCCTGATATTCACTTATATTTTGTGACTTTAATATATACATCCTGCGTGTCTAGATATTCATACTTTTATCACTCTATGTGCGATTTGTATATCTTTTTGTAGATATTGCCCACCACGCTGTTATATTATAAGGTTGTATATTTCCATTTGCACCTTAGAAGTGATCACTTCACTCTTTTCCCATTCCTACTTATCTATTCCATAAAGGTATTTACATAAAAAATGAGCGACGTTTCGACCCATTCAGGTCTTCCTCAAGATCAATGTACCTATGTAAAATACATAGGAAACATAAATGTGTACTCACCAATAGTGAGGAAACCCCTGATTCCCTCCGTGCATACCCGTAAGTGAATACCCGCGTTCACGTGATAAAAACGTGCTGATGTATAAACAGTTGCTAGGATACCGATAAACAAAGAAAATTACATGATCGGTATGAAATTCCGTGCTGTAGAAGGATGTGAATATGTATTGGAAAACAGAATAGTTAGAGACCTATGCCCTCAGCTAACTAGATAGTGATAGGTGCAAGTGAAAGTGGACAAAAAACATCTATATTAAGTGATGTGATGTGATATCGTGAAAACAACCTATCTGTGAGAAATATAACCCAGTCACATTCTAAGTGAAAAGAAGGAAACATACCAACAGTTAAAAACATTTCAAAATACAATTGGAAGATTATGAGGTTTAGATATGACAAAATTCATTACTTAGCAAAGAAAGTAAGGCACAGTACTATTATGGTTCATTAAGTGAAAAATGTCACAAAGGAATTAGACCACTCTAGAGATTTCAAAAGGAATTTTTAAAGAAAAAGAAATATATATAGGAGAATGCAGAGGCACTGAATGCACTAAAACAATTATGTGTATACACACTTTGGAGGAGTTTAGACTACTTTGACACATCCAGATATACGAAACGAACATATTCACCATGAATTTGCAAAACATATATTAATCAAGGATGTCAAAAGTCTATAATATTAAGCAGAATAGACCTCTGTACTGGAAATAAGGTACTACAGCCAAATATCCAAGAATATCTGTGGTGTCAAAGGGATAGACGCTCAACGCGGAAAAACTCAAACGCTAATAAAGAATAAACATGAAAAAATAAAAAATAAAAAGCTAAAAAAAAATAAGAAAAAATTAAAATAATTAATTCAAAATAAAATAAAATGAAGACAAGGGGGGACTAACCCATCCATAGATTAAAGAACCGATGAGGCAACAATATCCTGTACGGTCTTGAAGACTTAATAAACAAGAGAAAGAAAAAAAGAAAAGAAAAAATAATAAAAAAATTTAAAAATGGGAGGAAAAAAAAGCTCTGAGAAATAAGGACATGTCATTAGTAAATAAATATAAGAAAAAAAAAGAGATAAATTAGAGAAACATAGAAAACACAATATTTTCATTGAGTCCTTTCAGTGTCACAGTATCCAGTCGATGATTCCATTGCTTTTAATAACATCTTCGATCTGTCACCTCCTCTAGACATCAGAGGGATGTGGTCGATAGCGATAAATCGTAAAGTTGGAAGTCTATGTTCCATTTGCAAAAAGTATTTAGCGACCGGTTTGTCACTGCGTTGGTCCCTAAATGCTGTGGGTATGGTGGAACGATGTCCCCTTATACAATCTCTTAAGGTCAGGTTGGTTTTACCAACATAAGAAAGTCCACAGGGACATGTGATCATATATATCATATGGTCAGTGGTACAAGTTATATAGTGCGGTATTTTAATTCTTTGACCATTATGTGGATGTGCAAAAGTCGTACCACTGACCATGTGGCTGCAAGTCATACATCCCCTGCATTTGTAGCATCCCTTCTTGGTAATTATCGTAGGTTTACGGTAACAGAGTACAGGATCGCTCTTCACCAATAGATCTTTCAAATTCCTGTTCCTTCTATAGCTGATTACAGGTGTATCCTAGAATGTGTTAGGCAATGTTTTATCAGAGCGTAGTATTTCCCAGTGTTTGTAAATGGACTGTCTCACTTTAGCTGTACCAGTATGGAATGTCATGGGAAGATAGATTTAAGATTTTCTAGATTCTTTTTCAGTTTTGACATTGGATTTTCCCCGATTCCATATTTCCAAGGCTTTGGTCTGTGCTGTTTCAAGGACATGTGGTTGGTAGCCTCGCACTCTAAATCTCTCCCACATCTCTTTCAGTTGGATTTTACATTTTTCAGTTTCTATATTATATCTGAGAGTCCTCAAAAATGGTGATATTGGCAATGATTTTTTAAATTGTTGTGGACGAAAGCTGGAGGCCGAGAGGAGGGTATTACAGTCAGTATTCTTTCGATATAGAGTAAATTCTAGATTGTCTTCTTTCTTGTAGATTGTGACATCTAGAAATTGGATACAGTTTTGGTCATGTTTATGACTTAAAATGACAAGTATCAGTAGTGAGTTAATATCTGTAATCATTTGTTCCAACTCATTAGGTGTTCCGGTCCAGATTAGAAAAAGATCATCCACAAAACTATAATAGTGTTTGATGTGTTGCCCAAATTTTGACAAAATGTGTATGTCATCGCCGCCCCCATAGCGGTCCCAGATAGTTGGAGGTAAAACTGATTCTCAAATCTGAAATAGTTGCATGTCAGTGCAATGGTAAGAAATTCCAAAAGATACTCGATCGGCAGTCCTTCATATAATGCAGATTCAACAAGGAAAGCTCTCAAAGCCTGCACACCTTCTCCATGGGGTATGATGGTGTACAGGCTTTGGACATCCATAGTGACAAGTAGGGATGTAGAGTCCACGGATGGTGATTGAGGGTCCAGGGACTTTCATCAGGATCTGGATCCCGGTTAGGGACTGAAACGTTGATCCCTGGACCCTCAATAAAGAATTATATGTCTCTCTACAAGCCGGTGAGTGCAGGTTTATTTCACTGTTCTACTCTACATTAATATTGTTTTGAGGACTGGCACCCGGCCAGATATTCAGCCTGTGTGCAAGAACTATATCTAAGTATTATATATATATGTGTATATATATATATATAAAATTTTTACATAATTATGTTATTTTATTGATTGTAATTTGAGGGACCTGCCTGACAACCCAGGCAAAAAGTCCAGGGAATTTAATTTGCAAGCCCTATATTCGACCATGTAACTTTCCAAAACTCCATAACACCTGTACATATAGGGTACTGTTGTGCTTGTGAGACTTTGCTGAACACAAATATGAGTGTTATAAAACACTAAAACTTGGAACGATGACGGTCGTCAGTGAAAGTGCAGTTTTTGCGTGAAAAATTCAAAAAAAATGTAAAATAAAATATAAACATGAAGTTTGGGCAGGCGGGATGGCCGCTCTCCCGCTTGGCGCACGACATGGCTCCTGCAAGAGGCAATCGATGACCGCCCCCCTCCCCCCCCGCTGGCCAGCCAAGAGATACACAGAGTGGCAGGGCCTCTATGCCTGCATCTACTCGAGACGCAACTTTCCCTGCCAAGATGGCTGCCGCACTCACACCTCATGGCGCTGAACCCACAAAGCCTACAGGAGCTTACCCTGACACCGTCCAGCAATCCCTAAAGAGGCGGGATGCCTTGTTCGGCCGCTTCTGGGCCTCGCTGAAGCAAAGAACAGCTGGACGACCAACCCAGCCCCAGACAGTGAACGGAACGACGAAAAGCAGAGGAGAGTGTAGGCCTACGCAGAGCCCTGTCCGCACAGAAGCTCAAGCAACTCCTAACACGGGCTCTGCTGGGCCGAGAGTCAAAACTCCACAAAGACGCACTCACCGGATAAACAGAAACCGCAGGAAACATCATTTCCGCACCAAGACTCTGTGTCTCTCTCCTCCCCGAAAAGTCACAGGCACCACTAGCCAGATCTGTCCCACGGTGACAGCGGCGGCAACGGGCTGGAAAGAAGCTCCGTACTGCACCCTATCTACGGCTGTACTAAGATGCCTCACCCTCTGCACAAAGAGACTCCAGCGGGCACCTCAGCAACACCCCGCACGGCTCCAGGAGGCAAAAAGGCATGGCACCGGGACTATCATGGCGAGAAACTCTCCCTCCGAGCCTCTTAGCGGCGTGGGCTGACAGCCACCAAGGGACGCTAAGATACCTGCTCTCAGGCACTTGAGAGTTCGGTTAATCCCTGCACGCAGCAACTAACCTGTTTATATACCCAGCGGTACACTCAAGCATTTAAACATTTAATCTGTAAAGCGTGGTACCCTTCTACTCAATAATCAGTTATTACCTTGCATTTATTTTATGTATTTTATTTGACTGACGTGTATCAACCCTAGCCTGGTTTGTTGGCACTATGTTCTCTAACCGAGGCCACAAACAACCCAGCGACACAAACGCAAGAAAATGATAGCAAGTTAAAAATGTTATGTTATTGATCGCACTTAAGATTAGCAGTCTTTTTAGCTCCACACATAATGCATAATTGTTTAGTTTTAACCAATGCTACGTCAGGGGCCTATCAGCTGCATGTATGTTAGCCCATATTATGAACACTAGATAACGCTAGGGCAGACCGTGAGCTACTAAACTGTGAGTTAATAAACTGTGAGTTAATAGATCCTTTTTTAGCACAGCAGCAAGCATGATAAGACGTTACAGGAGGGCATGAATGTTTATGCTAGAACATTACTTTCACACATATGTGTAACGCTGTCTACCAAATCTGTCAGGATGCTACAGGCATATTTACTCTTAAATAATTGGTTGTCGCTTAGACATACCTACGTAACTAATATTACCTTTAAAAAAAATGTGCAAGTTTTCAGAGCCACTGTTCAACCTATCTATGTTTCCATATTATTCTTCGCTGTTGTGGCGCATGACTATGTTTTGTGCTCACCTGCACAACAAAAATAAAGAATATATAAAAAAAAACATGAAGTTTGACCAAGGTTTGTGACTAAGTGATTACTAAAATAGACTGGACATACTCTATTTTATTTTCAATTTGTGTTTTATTAGGTTTGTACACAGACTATACATCTTTTCCTTTGTATGGGAATAGTATAACAATTAGACAATTATTCAAAGGATTGGAGCATTAATAACAAGGGAGTGGGCATCTGAGAGTGCTTAAAATGCAGACAGTGCCAGAACATTTCACTATTATGTTTATAACTGACCATGTGTGGCAACAAGCAGGTCATTAAAGCAGAATGTTAAGAGTCCTTCTATGGGTCCTTGCTGCTGGGCAGGGTTCATTGCCGACTGGCAGCACTGCCGGCTGAGTCAGCAGGCGGCTGCGGGTTGTCCCCTCTAGAGCCTCTCTTCTTTTTAGATTTTCCCCAAGTTGAGGCTTCAGTGGATGGCATGGTTTTCAGGCCCAGTTTTTGTAGAAACGGTTCTGGGTCATCAGTGGACAAGGCTTGAGTGTCTCCTCACCATAGGGGAAAACTAGTGAGCCTTCTGCTCCCCATCTGTGCTTAACAGACTGGTCTCTCAGTCTCCTGGCGATCGGGGCTAGCTGCCTCTTCTTCATCAGTACTCAGAATGAAAGATCTCCATACATCGACACCGAGCAGCCTTCATATTTAAAGATTCCAAAGATCTTGGAACAATTTAAAATAGCGGTTCTCACCGCTACGTCTCTCGTGATTGCAATGGTAACCCAAGGAGCTTTGACCGGCGCTGTGGCAGACTTGTGGACCCAGAATACTGATGTTATCTGTGTGGGTTATTGCACCCCTTAATGCCCATGGAGGTGGTCAGTTCCTGAGGTATCCCAGAGTGCCTCTCCTCCCACGTTCTCTGGGATACCTCAGAGGCGGATATTCCGGCGTCTATGGTGGGATTCTAGTGAGGCTATCGCTCTGCCTAAGTGGTAGACGTACTGTGTGAACCCTTTAATCTGTTCCTGTGCCTCCTGTAGCTGGCTGTCTCTGTCTGCCTCCCTCACTTCTACCGCTGTAATCTTTTGATGGATCACTCCAATTGTGGCTTGGGCCACCCTCTCCAGACCTCTCCCAGATAGATCAGGAGCCTCCTGATGTCACCTTTGGTGGACGGAGTACAGTCCTCATCCGACTCGTACCCTCTACTGGCTTGAGGAGAGGTGAGTAATTCCTCCTCCTCGTGGTATTCCTCCAAGGCTTCAGGGTCTCAGGCTCCATCTTAGGCAGTGTTGGTGGTGTAATTCTCTTGAAGGAGAGTCTGATGTCTGGTAGGCAAAGATTTTCCGAGCGATATTGCTTCTTTTTCCTGTGCCCCATTGTGTCATCTGCAGTGGGCTGTGAGTCTTTCAATTTGAGACTGAATATTTTTGCAGCCTGAGTCGGTTTATTGTGGGGTCGCATCGGAGCCCCGTGGATAGACGTCTGGTTAGGTGCTCAGCACAGACTTTGTGGTTAAATAGTTTGTGAACGATATCGCTAAATGTAGCCTGTGCCAGGATCCTTCTGGCACCATAACATTTCAATTAAGTTGTTATGGTTCTCAAACTGTTCCTTTAAGCCTTTTTTGACATGGGCCAAACTATGCATTTAACATTTGTTTTTCGATCCATTCTTGGATGACAAAATTGGGTGGAGATACTTCCCTGTATGACCTCAGTGGTAACGGGGGTGTATGGGTTCAGACTAGGAAAACAACAAGGTTTTCAACAGTAACATTGCAGGGTTATCTTTCTATCATCATACCCAGTACAATAACCTGTAGTGGTAAGAGTTCTTGGAATGTCCCCACATTCTTAACTGTATCAGCTAACTTAGAGGGCAGGTGGTATCAATTTATTTCCTCCTTCAGACTTATGTCCTTATGTCATGTCAGAGAGGGTGATTCATGGTGACTCAGGGAAGTATGCAAAGTAATTATTAACTTAAAAGTCAAACTGGAAAAAATCTCTAAGTCTCTAAAATCCTAAATCAGCTATGCTTTTAGTTTGGCTACTCTGGCCTTAAATTTTTAATTCTTTTTGTGGCTAAAAGGTAAATCTACTGCTGCGTGTGTTTTAAAAATAGGGGTAGACCTATTTATTGGTTGTAAATGGAAGACATTATCTATATACAAAAATCATGAGTTTGGAGGCAGGAAATAGTGCTGTTTTTTTTCTGATGTGTGGGTGTGTGTTGTTGAGAATGAAGGCAAATAAGTTGTATGATGAATACGGTATCCATTCCAGGGGTGTTATTTATATGATGTAAATGACATAGCAATATTGGTAAGTATTTGCCATGGTAATGTTTAACATCTGGCATTGAGTAGGTTAAACTGTCATTGCCCAGTTTAATTCTGTGTGAGGCTGCATGCGTGGGAGCTTCATATCAGGTTCATTTGGATGTTTTAGTGGGCAGAAGGACTGTAGAACAGCTTAAGATGTACTTGGTCTTTTGCATTTTTACAGCGCACTAAAGAATTCTGTAGAATTATGAATTGAATTTGCACAGTGTGTGCCATTGGTTTACCAGCTGATGCATATTTTCTATCTAACTACTGTACTGTTTTGAGTTTTGTAAAATGCTATATCCTCCCAAACATTTCATCAACCTTTAGTTTCCGATTATTAATTTCTTTGCTTTTTCCTGTTTCCTAATTTCATGTTTACAACAATTATCAGAATCACTGAATAGTGTAGAAAAGATGTTACATTTAATTACATAGCAAGAGGAGAGATTGCAGAATACGGAGGAGATCAGTGAATACAGGAGGAGGTCAGTGAGTACTTTAAGACTGCTATACTTGGATGCTCTGTCCTTGTCCTACATAGCTTAACAATCTCAGGAGTCATGGTGTAAATAGGCACAAAATGCTAAGGTATTTGATGCCTTAAAGAGGAAGTTTCAACTACTTGTGGAGACAGTTTTTTTTTTTTTTATCTTAGTAACATGTATTGACATATTTACTGTAGCTCAGTGGGCTTAGATTTTCATATAGTTAAAGCGGCACTGTTATTATTTGGGGAGTTGGACTTTGGGGTCAGGTGGCTAGGGTAGAATTTTATCTTTATGAACAATTAATTTGTCGTGGATGTGTGACAGTGCCGCTTTAAAGCCTCACTGTCACATTTTTACAGAGGTCTCTGTAGCGGAGCTCCCTGTACCCCGGTTGGGTACCTCTGACAAAAATCGCTTCCTAGCTGGAACCGGGAAAAACCCTAAGCGCTTCTGCCCCAGTCGCCGTGGCTTGACTTTGCTCCTCCTGGAGCCTCTACATCCTGGAACAGGATAGAGGACTAGCTCCCTCCCAGGAACTGGACAACACAGTGCTGGGAGCAGTGCTGGGAGCTATAGTCCTTACAAGGACTTTCCCCACTAAATCCTCCACGAACTGGAACTTGGTGCTGAGTAGTAAATAGCCATTTCTCCTTCAAGTAACTAGAAAACACATAGTCCTGGGAGTACAACTGATTTTAATGGGCCAAACTCGGCCTTTTATGCAAAGACCCCAGCACGGCGTCTCCAAACAATACAATGCAAGCGCCTCCTAGGAATTTCTGAGCCTGGGAGATAATTGAGTTAAAGACCGGTAAGCTAATTATCTCCCAGGAGCAGAGAGCCAAACACAAAACATAAAACACCCCAAACATCATAAAACCATATAATAACCCCACATGTCATACACCCCTGATCTGAGTGCCCAAGTTGTCCAAATAGCAAAGGTCAACTTGCAGGAGCTCATGTGGCCACAATATGGGGCTCTCTGCCTGGCTCTCAGGCAGGGTTTGTACCCCTTAGTCTCAGACACCTTTTCTTCAAAAAGCGCTCTCCTATCAGGTCATAAAGTGGTTCAAAACCCTGGACCAAATTGCCCAGGAACCGCAAGGTCACCTCATGCTGAAAATGTTCCATAACATTCGCGGCTAAGTACTGCTTAGGTGACCGGGAACCACAAAGTCCTCATGCCGACATCAGTTCCATAGAGGTTGCGGCTAAGTACCGCTGAGGACCATTTGTGGGTGTGTTCATGCTAACGGCCGCCAGGGAGCTAGCGTTCGGTTCCATTCGTGAGAAAGGAAGGTGTAGAACCAGAAGCAGCGAGGGAAAGCTGCTAATGGCAGATAGGCAGGGTCACTCCTGAACAGGTCTCAGACCGGGACCATAGTCGGTGGGCAGAAGGCCAGCTTCCACACT